AGGAATAAGAAACAGGTAGGTAGGTCATGCTTGTCACCGAGCCCACAGCGGAGCCTAGGTGTGGGCACTGAGATGTACGGACTGTTAAATGACATAGGTCGATGGTTTTAACACTAAAAGGAAGACTGAAAGGGCAAATAAATTCAAGACTTTATTTTCTACAAAGCAATCAAAAATTGATAACACTCTTGCTGAGCAAATTTAAATACAGAAGAAGCAACAGAAAACATACAAGATTAAGGTCAAGAAACCAAGCATAGCTACATGAGGAAAGAGTGTCAAGTGATGATAGAGTGGTCTGTTTACTCAGCCAAACTTATGGGAAGCAATCTGAAGATACGGAATAGGCAGATAATCTCCTAATAAACACAAACAACCACAATTAAACCAAAAGATTTGAATAGATTGATTTCCAGAGAAGAAGACATTGAAAAGGTAATTATGGCTCTACCTATTGAAAAAGGTACCAGTTCCAAATGCGCTTTACAAGGGAAGGTCGTCAGACTTTCAAAACACATATCATTTCTAAGGATAATTAAGTATTATGGCCAAAGAAAAAGAAGAGACTTTCTCTACTACATATTACCCATCTTTAATCTTCAAATCTAACAAAAAACACAAGAGTCCTATCTCACTTATGAATAATGAAGACCTATTCTAAATAAAAACACTGATGAACAGAATTCAGCCTTGTATCAAGATGATAACACACTGCGATCAGCAGGCTTACTTCATAAGCCTTTGTAATTGTAGTTCAAAACGAGAAATTCTATTAACATAATTCATTGTATTGAAAAAATAATTGAGAACTCAGGGTATAGCTCACAGAACTTGACTAAGGTGCTCCAGGAAAGACAAGAAAAGCCATAGAGTACAACTGCGGACTCATGCAGCTGCTGTTCAAATACAGCAGCCAATTCTGTAAGGAAATGTGGAAACACAAAACAAAATGAAAATTCGAAACCAAATAAATAAACAAATGCTGACAGAAAATTTAAAAGAACACAGAAAACATTTTGATTTTAAAATCTTTAGGCAGAATAGGCCATCAACAGGATTTCTATTTAACTATCCGAGTTTCAAAAAAAAGAGCAAAAAATGTAAAATGGAACAAAAAAGTAAGTATTGAAAAGATAGAAGAAAATGAAATTTACCAGAAATAATAGGAGAATCTGTATAATAGCTAATGTAAAATAAATATTCATAAAAATCAATAGTCATTTTCAATGATAGCAAATAGCACTTAGCAATGGAGATGAGGAAGATATTTGAGCCCCAACAGGAGAAAAGCTATTAATTCTTGAGAAATGTATCAAAAAGAGTGTATAATAGATAAGAAGAAAAGAATAAATCTAATTAACACAAAATCAGATGTGAACATGCAAAGAAATACAATTTCTTAGCTAAAAAGAACCACATAATTAAAAAGTTAAACCCAATGTAATGTAATTCTAATTAGAATCCTATTAGAAGTGGAAGGGAATATTAAGTAAAAGGAAATCTTAAAATTTATAAATAGGAAAATTGACAAGACAGTGCTAACTGAATTTTAAACTAATGTAATCAAGTGAATATGGTCTTGGTACACAATTCAGTGGAACAGGATACAGAATCAAAAACTCGAGCCTAGTACATAAAACATCTACCAGCTGACAAGGATGGATGTTCAGTTTACAGGAAGAAGCAGGGAGTATGGAATACACTGTTCTAGTGCAACTGGTTACCCATCTTTGGTAAAGCAACTTTAAGTAGAATTGGAAATGTGGAAGTTATATAAGAATAATCTTTGTATGGAAAAGACAACTATCATGGCAAGACATTCGCATATACACACAAATGAAAATTGAAAGCAACAATATACCAAGTTAGTACACAGCAATGGTTATCACAGCATTATGGAAAGAAAGTAAGTATCCGTTAATATGGCAATGCCAAGATAAATTGTGTATTTATGAAATATTTTGCAGCTCTCTGAAATAAAACTTATTCCAGTAGACATTGATAGATTTCGATGAAATGTTGCTGAGTGAAAAAGCAGGATGCATTAAAAAATAAAAACAACCTTGAAAGAACAATACTCAACTTCATATGGAAAAGCAAAAACCCAGGATAGTCAAAACAATCCTGTGCAATAATAGAACTTCTGAGGGCAACACAATCCCTGATTCAAACTCTACTCAGAGCAACAATACTGAAAACAGCCTGGTATTGGCATAAAAACAGACAGGAGGACCAATGGAACCGAATTGAACACCTGGATATTAATCCACACACCTACAAACACCTGATTTTTGACCAAAAAAAAGCAAAACAAATATCAAATGGAAAAAAGAAAGCATATTCAACAAATGGTGCTGTCATGACTGGATATCAACATGTAGAAGAATGAAAATAGACGCATATCTATCATCATGCACAAAACTCAAGTTCAAATGCATCAAAGACCTCAACATAAAGCCAGCCACACTGAACTTCATAGAAGAGAAAGTGGGAAATACACTCGAATGCATTGGCATTGGAGACCATATCCTAAATATAACCCCAGTAGCACATATACTGAGAGCAACAATTAATAAATGAGACCTCCTGAAATTGAGACGCTTCTGTAAAGCAAAGGACATGGTCAACAAGACAAAATGGCAGCCTATAGAATAGGAAAAGATCTTTACCAACCCAACATCAGACAGGGGACTGATCTCCAAAATATATGAAGAATTCAATAAATTGATCATCAAAAGAACAAATAATCCAATGAAAAAAATGGAATACAGACCTAAACAGAGAACTCTCAACAGAGGATTCTAAAATGGCTGAAAGACACTTAAGGAAATGCTCAACATCCTTAGTCATCAGAGAAATGCAAATCAAAACAACTCTGAGATTCCATCTTATACCTGTAAGAATGGCCAAGATCAAAAACACTGATAACAACTTATGCTGGAGAGGTTGTGGGGTAAAGGGAACACTCCTGCATTGCTGGGGGGAGTGCAAGCTGGTATAGCCCCTTTGGATGTCAGTGTGGTGATTTCTCAGAAAATTAGGAAACAACCTTCCTCAAGACCCAGCAATACCATTTTGGGTATATATCCAAAGGATGCTCAATCGTGCCACAAGAACATGTGTTCAACTGTGTTCATAGCAGAACTGTCATAGCCAGAACAACCTAATATACCTAAATACCCCTTGACCAATGAATGGATAAGGAAAATGTGGTATATATACACAATGAAGTACTACACAGCAGAAAAAAATAATGACATCTTGAAATTTGTGGGCAAATGGATGGATCTAACAAATATCATATCGAGTGAGGTAACCCAGACCCAGAAAGACAAATATCATATCTGTTCACTCATAAGTGGTTTTTAGACATAAAGCAAAGAAAATCAGCCTATAATTCACAATCTTAGACAACAATGAAGACACTAATAGAAACATACACGGATCTATCTACATGGGAATTAGAAAAAGACAAGATCTCCTGAGTAAACTGGGAGCACAGAAGGAGAGGGGAGAAAAATACATAGCTCAATAAAAACAACAACAAAAAAGAAGTATAACTACAAAAAGAAAAAAAAACAGTTAACAAAAACTTCTAAAAGTCACATAAGCTTGTCCATGTCCATGGAAAAAGATACATACTGGTTTAGTATACAGAGAGATAGTATGAGTTAAGGGCCAAGCAAAAAGAGATTGCAAAGGGCCATTATGACATACCCAGTAATCATATTTCTATATTTATGTATGAGTATAAAACATAAGCAAATTAAATTAAAATAAGAAAATAAATAGTAAAAATGAGTAAACAATGATTTCTGCTTATCAAAAAAGGAAAGACAATAACCGAAATTATCTCTTGAGGGAAGGAGAGAGGTGGTGATTATTTTCTTTCTGATGAGAATTGTTGCTTTCACCCTAATGAAATAAAATCAATGAATGTTGCTTTAAAAACATTACACTGAATAATTGAGTTCATTTCGAAAAGGCAAGGGAGGGAAGTAAGGTTAAATAGCCCTTTTCTGTGGGAGCTGTCTTCATAAAATATATAAAGTCAGGATCCATTAGCCCTCACCCAGAAGAAAGTTACTCACCTTAGGCAAGGGACTAAGTGGCTACTCTGAGGAGCTGTTTGCAGGGGCAAATGGGGTAGCCCCCTACCTAATACTCTAATGACTTAAGTAAATCAGAAAGCCATTTACTCTACTCTCAACTATCGACACATCTCCTAGGCGTATTACTTCCTGTTCTCTCCCTCTGGCCATTTCACAATTCAGAAATAGCTCCAACATGCAGAGGGGGGGATTAATTCAGCCCATTTTACCTCGCACTAGCAAGTCTAATAAAAGGTCTGATGAGGGAGATGATCACACCTCGTGGCTAAAATCAGAGCTCCGGACCTCTTACTAATTTAATTTAAGTAAACTTGCCTTCAGAGAACCATGTTTGCTTGCAGTATACTTTAATGGATTTGATGCTTGCTGATATTTTCAAGAAAGTCAGGATTTATAAGGCTAAGGGTGTGGCTCACTGGTTAAACATTGTGCAGCAGGCATAAGGCCCGGAATTCAATCTCCAGAATCCCTGTCACTTTATTTAGCACCTGAAGGAAAAATGTCCATTAAGACACAGGAACAATGGCCTTTAGTACCATGTCCTCAGTGACAAGACAGATAGAGGGGAACTATGGACTAAAGCTAGGTAGTCCCCAGCAGCTTTCACGTGTAACCTCAGTAGGTCAACAAGCTGCCAAGCTACCCTGCCATGGCTGGGTAATTACAAAGATTGCTTCAGTGGGTTTTGCCAGGGCTCATCACAGTTACAACCTACATACAGCATGTGCATGACAGTTCAGCAGACCCCAACAGATGTTCATTCCTTAGGAAAGGCCAGAAGACCAAGAAGTACAGTCCAGGGGGTTGACACCACATGTCCTCTATCATCAAATGAAAAGAAGAGCCTGAAGAGGAAGGACCATGGAGTAAAACACAATTTTCTCTTACTTGAAGACGACGATAGCTCCCGGACATGGAGGGCAGGCCAGGAGGAAGATCTGCAATTGAAGAATTAAAAATGGTTAGTGAGCAAAACACTGAGCACAGCAACTCGGGGTTACTTTAACAATGCCACTTACTTCAACAACAAAAAAAAAAAATGTATATAAAAAATTAGAAAAGTAAAATTTGTATATTTGTGTGTTGGTTAAAATTTTTATAGTTACAAGGCAAACAGATAGTTTACCGAAGTACATTTGTATTTTTGTGTGCGTGTGTGCATATGGAGAGAGAAAGACTTGGTTTTCAGTGCTTTAACGTCAATATGCCATAAGTAGTCAGTCTTTGAAGCTTTAACCCAGGGCAGGTAAAAATAGATTCTGCACATGGAAGATGCACACACATGCCATCTGGTTTGCCTCCCATGGGGGTAGGTGGGCTTATCAATACTCAGAGGTGCCAAATTTAGCACATGAAAATACAGGACACCAAGTTAAATTGGAGTTCCAGAGAAACAATGAGTAATGTTTTTGTGTAAGTAGGCTGGAAGTGTTGCATGAAGCCCATTTCTTTAAAACATTGCTTTGTGTTTATCCAAAAATTGGATGTAACTGGGGATCCTGAATTTTCCCACAACTCTTAACAAACTACCACCTCAGACTCTAAACCCCACTGAATTTTGTTTGTATCTACAAATCGATCTAAGTAATTTGAGAAGGTTCTATTATCATGACAGGCAAAAATGTAAACCAGAAGAATCTATCATTCTAAGAGACCAATCAGCTCCCTGTTCTTGGTGTGACACAGGCCTGGACTACAGCCACTGAAGACCGGCAGTTGCTGGGACTTTACCCATATGGTGGTCTTTAACTGTCTTCAAGGACAAAACATCCTTTGCAAAATTTGCTAAATATGCAAATCCCGAGGTTCTCACAGAAAGCATTCTCATTCTGCAAACCTGGGACCTCCCCCACTACCACATGCATGCTGAATCAAAGTTCCAGAGCGAATGAAGTCAGTCATTCCTGGTAGCCTCACGTGTGCTCTTGGGCTAAACTACTCTGAGGGCCAAAGACACAAGGGACTGAGGATCAACCTTTAGGATATACCTAAACCTTAGGTTTGCAGGGTCCCTTGACCCAAACTGATTTGTTTATGTGGTTTAAAAAACTCATTGATAACTGTCCCTGTCGTGGTGAAAGCTCTGACAATTTCCATTATTGGACGTTGATTTTGCCGAGTCTGCATGCTTTGGAGTTTTGTTTCTCCATTCTCTCAGAGTCTACAGGGAGAGTAGGCTATACCATAGGGAAGACATCGGTTTGGCAGTTAGAATCCCCGCTAAGAGGAAAAGAACAGAGTATGGAAAAGAATACCAGTGGGAGTCCATCACCCAGGATACCCATCAGAGAGCCACTCAAAGGAAAGAGCTTTCTACCAGCACCCCAGACCACGCCTTTCCCCCATGGGTCCATTTGTCTAAGTGAAAACTCAAAGATAACTTCAGGTCCACAATTCTCTATTGGACCCCAAATCCAAAAGGCTCTAAAATAAAAAAATGAATGCTTATTCAAAGCATGACTTGAATGGGGGTGATCTCCCTTTATTTATGGGGAACTGCCATGTATTTTCCACAGAAATAAGATGTATTTCATTGTGTGGGGTGCATTCCCAGACCTCACTGTAAAATGCTTTTAGCATTCATTGTTGCCAAAGAAGTGGATTACTGAACCACATTGAACTAACTCTACTTAGCCCTCAGGAGCAGCCCAAAAAAGAACTAAATGAAGCTGGTCTTCTTTACCCCAGACACAGCAGGAAGGTTACTTACCTTAGGCAAAGAACCAAGTTGGAGGCTGTACATAGTGACCCAGCATAACGCCCACCAAAGCCTACACTTTGAAGCTACAGTACAGAGAGGAAAACGGGTCCCACCCACCTTGGAAAGGTCTCCAGTTCATCTGGAGAATGCCAGAGAGCCATGCCAACAGCCTCCCCAAATTTTGGAAATACCCAGACACTTGCAACATGCCAAACAGAAAGTAAAAATGCAATACTGGGCCTCACAATTAATGAAGTCTTACATTTCTGTCTGTAGCCTCTAGGGGCAAGCACATAACCCTTTAACTGGTTCTGTCCTTCTCTACAGCAGGTATTCATGAACTTACTTTAAGGATTAAGCCTCCAGTTCCAAGCTACTCCACTGTCCGATTTTCCTCCACCACTCACAGAGACAGCAAGCTAGTCGAGTCTTGAGTCTACATGTGCTTACCAACAGTTACTTTCATAGGGCCCAATATTCTAATCGACCTTCTAGCCTTTCTCACCTTGCCTGTCTATGTCTATCACTAGGATAGAGTTTTGGTTTTGTTTTGTTTTCTTTTCTTTTGTTTTTTGTGCAATCCTTTGAGACAAATACAGTAAATATACAAGCAAAAAAAAAAAGCCCACCTTTCTAAGGTAACCCACAGACTCTTTCAGTCACTTGAAGGATTTCTAAAATTAAACATCTGCTTAGTCAGGCTAAGATCACAACTATAATGATTCTTAATTGATCAGGAATTGTAAAAACATTTTAACTTAACAGCCCAAGGATCCCCAGGAATTCACTGAGTGGCTCCACCACCTTCATCTTTAGATAACATATATTTTCGACTGGCAGAAGGAAAACAAAAACACCCCTTGAGCTGCAAACAGTAGGAGAGAGAGGGCATCTAGAAGCACAAAGCAGATGAGAGATGAAAACGGATGCCAGCAGATTCCAGCACCCACTCGGTGCTTCCTATCTGTGTTCAAAACTGCCCAGCACAGTTCCTGAAGGTAAGAGAAAAACTACGGAGCAAGCAGACAGTGTTACACAGACACATCCCATCACAGGCAGGGCCGTGTTATTTAACCTCATTTCCCAGATGAAAAAACTGGGGGAGAAAAGCTCTCACGAGCATTTCAGATGAAACCCCAATTCCATGTACTTGCCACAAAGGCCCCTCCTTCCCCTACAGCTCTGCCCATTCACTACACTCAAATAACACATGGGGTTTTATGTCAGTACTACCACATACATTCCTGAGATCTATTTTCGACGCCATGAGACATCTCAAAACATACCCAACAGGGCAGCCCAGCACACAGATCCAGCAATGCCCACACTAGTTCATTTTGGCTCAAACTCTTCTCAGCCCCAGGTCTGGTGGGTACATGTGATTCGCAAATCCTTATAAAACTCAAGTTAAGATTTGTCACATGAGGCAAGTCATCCCAAGGGGGAAAAAAATGTCTGGATGCTATTGAAAACTAGTCATAATTCCCTAGAGGGATAAGTAAATAAAAAAAACTTCATAAAAGCACAGAAAACAGTACATTTAACTCTTTTCAGTTACACAATTGCTGTCTCAATTCACCTTCTAACTCTGAACTGTTGTGATTCTAGGCCCCCTCCTGGCCTCCCACCATCTCAGCCTTCATTTGCCCTACTCCCTATCCCTGTCCCCAGTCATACTGGCCCCAAGTTTACCATGGTCCATTCTAAATGAGCTGCTGGCCCAGTTAAGCACTGAAGGGACATAGTTGAACTATATGAAATAAAAATTGAGAGTAAGAGGCTCAAGGGACTGACCTGGAGCCTAGCACACTAGCCTCCAGGTCCTAGTGCCCTCTGGCTTTAGTTTTCCTGATTTCATTTCTGATGAAATCACCCAGATATCTAGGGATTCCTAAGGACAAGTGCTTGTGAGTCTTATTGACCATAGGGAAGATCACATTCCTGGGTTGCACAAAGTCTATCCTGAAGCTCTACCCACTCCTGCTCATACCTCTGTAGCCTTATCATTTCTCTCTAGACCACCGTGACAATCTCTTCCATATGTACCCCCATCAGGCACTATGATACAAGAAAGATCTATCTAAAATGTCACTCTGTTGTGCTATTTTAAATCCTCCCAAGTCTGGCCGATACCTAAAGAAAAGCACAGCAGATAAGTACATCTGTGCTCCAGGCTCCATTTTCCATGTAAGCAGGCACAATGCCAACAGTACCCTTAACATATAATATGCTGGTCCATGTGCTTCTATGGTTCCATTTCTTTGTTCATATTTTTTAAAGTATTAAATGTGACTATTTTGCCTGTGTGCATGTCTGTGCACCACATGGATGCAGTGCTCAAGGAAGCCAGAAATTGGCATCAGATCCCCAGGAACTGTGGAGCTTAGAGACAGCTGTGAGCTGCCATGTCGGTGCTGGGACTTGAACCTGGATTTTCTGTAAGAGCAGCCAGTGCTCTTAACCATGGAGCCAGTCATTTCTACAGCTTATCTCTAATAGCTTCACCTTACTCAATTACATACACATGCCATAATTTTACCATTTCCTTAGTACACAATTATAGGAGACTTTCTGAGACCAAGGAAATAGAAATAGTTACCCCTCCATATTCATGGGGAATTGGTTCCAAGACCCCCCGAATCTGCATCTGTGAATGTTCAATTCCAATATAGAAATGCTGTAGCATTTATATGTCACCTATTTTTGTTTTCTATATATTTTAATGATCCCTAAATTACTTATAATGCCTAATAGAATGTAAACACTATGTAAAGAGATGTTAAACTGCTGTGGGAACTCCTTCAGACAATAGCCTTTAAGATACTGGCTCACTTTGGGTGTGTCTCATGCACTATAAATGCAGACTTAAAGCATGGGGGGGCCCTTGGCTGCTGGATTCACTTCCAGTTCCTGTTTCCAGTGCACACAAGTTTACCCCCCTAATAAACAAACCTTTATTATACTCCATTCTAGGCTAGTATGGAACACTTTTGTATAGCAACATTAAACTATATCATTTGTGGGATAATGTTAAGAAAAAGAACTGTCCCACACATTTTAAATATAAATGGAATTTTTTAATAAAAAGATAGTTTTCTTCTGGAGTTGGCTGAATTCTTAGGTAGTATAACCAAAAGATATGAAAAGCCAACCACATATGCCTTAAGGCTTTTGATTTCATAGGTAAGCTGTGCTCTAAGAAAGTTATTTGAATTGATATTTCCTTCAGGCATGTAT